AACTGGTTTAGAGGTAGCCCTTTGGATCCTAACTGGTTTAGAGGTAGTTCTTTGGATCCTAAATCGTTTAGAGGTAGTTCTTTAGATCCTAAGTGGTTTAGAGGTAGTTCTTTGGATCCTAACTAGTTTAGCGATAGATCTTTGGATCCTAACTGGTTTAGATATAGTCCTTTGGATCCTAACTGGTTTAGTGGTAGTTCTTTGGATCCTAACTGGTTTAGAGGTAGTTCTTTGGATGCTAACTGGTTTAGTGGTAGTTCTTTGGATCCTAACTGGTTTAGAGGTAGTTCTTTGGATGCTAACTGGTTTAGTGGTAGTTCTTTGGATGCTAACTGGTTTAGAGGTAGTTATTTGGATACTAACTGGTTTAGAGTTATTCCTTTTAGTCATGATTGTCTCTTTCCTCGTGTGTCCCTCGTTCTCTCAAGACCAGTTAAAACATATTTACTTCCTCTAACCTTTGTCTTTGGTTGTGGGTTCTCAAATCCTACTTCCTTTAATCCTCAACCATCGATCCTTTCCCAGCATTCCCAGTGTCGCGTGTGTGTTTGTGTGTAAACTAACCGCACACAGAGCTGCCGTAAAACTCCCAACAGATTCCCGGATCGCCCTCCGACCTTCCCTGGAGGTCGGACAGATAGTCTGCAGAAGAAGAGGGACGGAGTGTTAGCGGTCGATCAGAGAGCCGACCAATCAGAGAGGACGACGGCGGCGAGACGAGGAAACAAAAGGGACACACACACACAGAAGACGATGAGTGTTTGTGCTCAGTCGGTGCCGGCTTGTCGCCGTGGCGCCTGGCGCTGAGTAGACGGATGCTGGCAGGAGTGTGTGTGTGTGTGTGTGTGTGTGTGTGTGTGTGTGTGTGTGTGTGTGTGTGTGTGTGTGGCAGTAAGCTGTTCTGGGATTCAACAGCCAAGCCTCATTAAACCCCTCCGGAGAGAGAGAGAGAGAGAGAGAGAGAGAGAGAGAGAGAGAGAGAGGGGGTAAAAAGAGAGAGACGGGGGAGAACAAATACAGGCAGGGAATGGTAATCAGACAGGCTGCCGAGTGCACACACGCACGCACACTGACGCAGTGGCAGCTTCACTTTCCTTCTTGTTGACTCCTCGGTCGCACTAAAACCGTTTTTATTTAATCTTTTATTCATATATTCTGTTTTTTTTCCTCTCCCCATTTTTTCTAATGTTAGCATGTTAGCATGCTAACACGCATGGTGGTAACCGTTAGTGTTTTTTAATTGTAAACGCTAAATGTGTCATATATCTAATGTTAGTTTGAAGGATTATAACTTTTTAAAAATGTTATTGTTCTGCCCTCATGTTAAAAATATTAACATTAGTTTTATCAGATTCTTTAATTTATTTGAGTTATTGATTTCTTATCAGAATAAAGCTGCCACTCCAATTACGAATAAAGAAAAAAATACAACATCAACGAATGATAATCTCTAAATTCTTTTTTTAATGAGAGATTTAATCTTTTAATAAATAAATTGTCTATAAATTACCAGTTTAATTGGTAATTAAACCAATTAAATCCCCCCTTACCCTCCAGGAAGGTTTCCATGGCAGCGCTGTGGGTCATGTTGATTGGTCCTCGTCCAGAGTACGAGGTGAGGGTCGGGTCGGCGCCGCAGGCCAGCAGGAGGCGCACCACCTCCACGTGGTCGTTCTCCACGGCGTCGTGCAGCGGCCTGAAAATGTAATGTATATGATATTTAATAAAGGACACACTATCGTGCTGTTATGTACGACGGAGTATTGCAGGTAAAAACCATTACAAAAACCATTACTTGGTAGCTTCTAAAGTCGTGTTAATATGGAAATAAGCGAGACAAAGGTCCTAAAAGATACATAAAGACGTTTTCTTTCATATTGTAACTAAAGACTCGTTTTAATTAATATATATTTTGCACTCTGTGTTCAACATCTTGTACATTTTTGACTTTAATCTCAGAGAATTTCTGATTGATTTTTCACGCACATGTATAATTCATGATCTCAGATAATATTCAAGTGTTTTCTCTCTGAATATTATCAGCATTTCACCTGTTAAAAGTGAGGTTACAAATGTACTATGTTATATATATATATATACACTATATATATGTATATATGGATAGATATATATGGATATATATAGATATTATATCACCATTTGGCGAGTGAAGATTCGTCGATATGCAGATGATGCAGTTATCTATACAGTAGCCCCCCCGTCTAAATAAAAATATAACTGCCTTTCACACTTCAGTCATCATTTTACTGATTAAAATAAACCTTGATTGTGCAAAAAAAGCAAATCCAGATCCAAGAGAATCCCTCTTACTGCTGCTCCAGCAAATACTACATCTTAACGGTCGTTACAAAGGTAAAACCCACATTTCACATTAGACTTATTATATCCAGTAAACTGAAGCAGTCATAAACCAACTCATACCTGGTCCCGTCCTGAGCGCCGCAGTTGACGTCGGCTCCGTTCTCCACCAGGTGGCGTACGATCTCCAGCCAGCCGCGGGCGCATGCCTCGTGCAGGGCGCAGTACCCGGCGTTGTCTCGGTGGTTGACATCACAGATCCGCCGCTCCAGACAGTACAGCACCACCTCCTGGACACGAGAGGACAAGTGGACCGCCAATGAGAACAAAACCAGACAAAGTACTGAGGAACAAAGCAGCTAACTAGGATGCTACAAGCTACATCTGAATATTTACTGCTGACCCACTGAGCCGAAACTACAACCACAGACGACATCTTAAGGCAGCAAACTGTTCGGTGCATCATTTCCTTTGTTGGAGGATTGCAAGGCCTAGAATAACCCTAATTGTATCTTGAGAGGAACCCTCATATTACCCTGAGAAGAACCCTCATTCTATCCTGAGAAGAACCCTAATTTTACCCTGAGAAGAACCCGCATTCTATCCTGAGAAGAACCCTCATTCTATCTTGAGAAGAACCCTCATTTTATCTTGAGAAGAACCCTCATTTGTCTTGAGAAGAACCCTCATTCTATCCTGAGAAGAACCCTCATTCTATCCTGAGAAGAATCCTCATTTTATCCTGAGAAGAATCCTCATTTTATCCTGAGAAGAACCCTCATTTTATCCTGAGAAGAACCCTCATTCTATCCTGAGAAGAACCCTCATTTTGTCTTGAGAAGAACCCTCATTTGTCTTGAGAAGAACCCTCATTTTACCCTGAGAAGAACCCTCATTCTATCCTGAGAAGAACCCTCATTCTATCCTGAGAAGAACCCTCATTTGTCTTGAGAAGAACCCTCATTCTATCCTGAGAAGAACCCTCATTTTACCCTGAGAAGAACCCTCATTCTATCTTGAGAAGAACCCTCATTCTATCTTGAGAAGAACCCTCATTCTATCCTGAGAACAACCCTCATTTTATCTTGAGAACAACCCTCATTCTATCCTGAGAACAACCCTCATTCTATCCTGAGAACAACCCTCATTCTATCCTGAGAACAACCCTCATTCTATCCTGAGAAGAACCCTCATTTTACCCTGAGAAGAACCCTCATTCTATCCTGAGAAGAACCCTCATTCTATCCTGAGAAGAACCCTCATTCTATCCTGAGAAGAACCCTCATTCTATCTTGAGAAGAACCCTCATTTTATCTTGAGAAGAACCCTCATTCTATCCTGAGAAGAACCCTCATTTTATCCTGAGAACAACCCTCATTCTATCCTGAGAACAACCCTCATTCTATCCTGAGAATAACCCTCATTCTATCCTGAAAAGAACCCTCCAGGAAGTATGGGTGCGCTTGTGTAGCGTTACCTCGTATCCCAGGCTGGCGGCACGCTGCAGCAGCGTCTCTCCGGCGTTCTTGTTCACGATGAGCCGGCGGACTTCGGGGGGGTGTGGGGCGAGCGATGGGGGACACCTGTGTATGAGAGTTTGTGTGTGAGAGAGGAAGGAGACATTTAAAGTGGTGAGCATGAGCTCGAGGATTGTTTTTATTACACACACAAAAAACACACACAGGCGCTCGCTGTGTTTCTACATTTATCACTGTCAGATGTTTTCTCTTAAACAAAAACACACACACACACACACACACACACACACTCACACACGACCCCAGTTTTCTAGGCTCAGTCGAAAATAGCGCTGTCACCACCTCTGCTCTCACGACTCTGTCAGTATGTATGTGTGAGAGAGTGTGTGTGTGTGTGTGGGAAGCCCGAGGCTGATGGCAGAAAGCTCAGGAAGAGAAGGAGGATTTGTCTTAAAGTAAAAACAGAATGAATGGAGAAACCAATGAGGATTCTCTCTCTCTCTCTCTCGTTTCCTCGAGCTCGTCGTTGTTTCCAGACATTGACTCTAACGTAGAAGAAGAAGCAGGATCAGGACCTTTAAGTCCTTTAAGAAACCTTAAGGAGTTCCACAGGGCTCCACTCTAGGTCCTCTGTTGTTTTCTATATGAATAAATCTGTTCCTAAGCACAGACTCTATATTTGTCTTTTGTTAGGGGGACAGGAGGTAGACCACAAGACATAGACAAGGACAGGACATAGGCAACGACGTGGATAGGACAAAGGAGGTGAGGACAGGACGAAGAAGACAACGACAAGATGTAGACAACGACAAGAAGAAGACAACGACAACAAGACGTCGACGAGGACATAGGCAAAGACGAGGATAGGACGGAGGAGACGAGGACAGGACGGAGGAGACGAGGAGAGGACGTAGAAGACGAGGACAAGACATAGGCAAAGACGAGGACAGGACGGAGGAGACGAGGACAGGATGTAGACATTGAGAAGACGGAGACAATGACAAGGACAAGACGGAGACAACGACGAGGATAGGACGTCGGAGGCGAGGACAGGACGTAGGCAAAGACTAGGACAGGACGGAGGAGACGAGGACAGGATGTAGACATCGAGAAGACGGAGACAACGATGAGGACAGGACGGAGGAGACGAGGACAGGACGGAGGAGACGAGGAGAGGACATAGAAGACGAGGACAAGACATAGGCGACGAGGACAGAGTTTTGTTTGATGGTGGATGTTTGTTACATTTGTCCCCACATTTCTCAGCAGTGCCTTGCTCAGTGGCTCTGAGGCAGAAGGTGAACCTTCCAGATTTATAAAATAAACTGTAATGTTACAAAACACCCTTTAGATTTGGTCATTTTAATAAAGAAATACGTTCATTCTCTGGAGTTTTTAATCTGTATATTTGTAGCCTTGAATTTTGATTGTTGTATTTAAATCAACGCAAATTTATAAGATGAAAATAATCCAGTTTTCATTCGTCTCTGAATCAGAAATCAGAGACGGATGAAAAGCTGCCGACGCCACGGCAACAGCCTCAGCCGCTGAGCAGCCAGACAGTGTGTGTGTGTGTGTGTGTGTAATATATGTGTGTGTGTGTGTGTGTAATGTGTGCGCGCAGGCGTCTGTCAAACGAAGCCGTTCGCCGCCACGCATCGGCAAACAGGATGCGAGCTTTGCCCTGGAGGTGTGTGTGTGTGTAAGTCTGTGTTCTGGTGTGTGTGTTTTTTCTAGCGCAGCAAACAAGGAGGAGGGTCGAGCTAAAAAGAGAGAGAGTGTGTGTGTTCTTGTGTGTGTGTGTCTGTCCTCGCTGTCCTGAGGAAATCTCCAGCGCAGCAGCTGTCAAAACGGCACAAGCCACCGCCACACTCACACACACACACACACACACACACACGTGGAGAATATTATTCGTCCTCCATAACCTTCAATCACTCCCTACCTCGTTCGCCCGCCCGCTCTCTCTCTCTCTCATTCACTTTAATCTGCAGTGAATTGAATTACACACACACACACACACACACACACACAGTAACACACACACATCGTCCCTGCAGAGCTTTCCCAGCGAGCTCCAATCAGGACGATAATTGCAACGATTAACAAGAGAGAGAAGAAGAAACACAGGAGGAACAGCAGAAGAAGAACCGATTGTGGTTTCTTATAAAAATGTGTTTGAGACAAAAAAAAGATGAAAGAACGAAATGTCTTGACATTTTAACGTGGACTCGTCTCGTTGTTAACGTTTTAACGCGGACTCGTCTCGTTAACGTTTTAACGTGGACTCGTCTCGTTGTTGGTGTCGTTTTAACGTGGACTCGTCTCGTTGTTGACGTTTTAACGTGGACTCGTCTCGTTGACGTTTTAACTTGGACTCGTCTCATTGACGTTTTAACTTGGACTCGTCTCGTTGTCGACGTTTTAACGTGGACTTGTCTCGTTGTTGTCGACGTTTTAACGTGGACTCGTCTCGTTAACGTTTTAACGTGGACTCGTCTCATTGTTAACGTTTTAACGTGGACTCGTCTCATTGTTAACGTTTTAACGTGCTCATTGTTAACGTTTTAACGTGGACTCGTTTCGTTGTTAACGTTTTAACGTGGACTCGTCTCGTTGTTGGTGTCGTTTTAACGTGGACTTGTCTCGTTGTTGACGTTTTAACTTGGACTCGTCTCGTTAACGTTTTAACGTGGACTCGTCTCGTCGTTAACGTTTTAACGTGGACTCGTCTCGTCGTTAACGTTTTAACGTGGACTCGTCTCGTCGTTAATGTTTTAACTTACATTACAGTCATTCAGCAGACGCTTTTATCCAAAGCGACTTACGATTCAGATTCTATCACCGTAGGCACAACTACGGGAGCAATTTTGGGGTTAAGTGTCTTGCTCAAGGACACATCGACATGCGACTAGCAGAGCCGGAGCCGGGGATTGAACCGCCGACCCTCTGATTGAAAGACGGCCCTGCTATCCACTTAGCCACAGTCGCCGACTTGGACTCGTGTCGTTGTTAACGTTTTAACTTGGACTTTTCTCGTTAACGTTTTAACGTGAACTCATCTCATTGTTAACGTTTTAACGCGGACTCGTCTCATTGTTAACGTTTTAACGTGGACTCGTTTCGTTGTTAACGTTTTAATGTGGACTCGTCTCTTTAACGTGGACTCGTCTCGTTGTTGGTGTCGTTTTAACGTGGACTTGTCTCGTTGACGTTTTAACATGGACTCGTCTCGTCGTTGGTGTCGTTTTAACATGGACTTATCTTGTTGTTGACGTTTTAACGTGGACTCGTCTCGTTAATGTTTTAACGTGGACTCGTCTCGTTAATGTTTTAACTTGGACTCGTCTCGTTAATGTTTTAACTTGGACTCGTTTCGTTAACGTTTTAACGTGGACTCGTCTCGTTGTAGATGTTTTAACGTAGACTCGTTTCGTTAACGTTTTAACGTGGACCCGTCTCGTTGTAGATGTTTTAACGTGGACTCGTTTCATTGTTAACGTTTTAATGTGGACTCGTCTCGTTAACGTTTTAACGTGGACTCGTCTCGTTGTTGGTGTCGTTTTAACGTGGACTTGTCTCGTTGTTGACGTTTTAACGTGGACTCGTGTCGTCGTTGGTGTCGTTTTAACATGGACTTATCTTGTTGTTGACGTTTTAACGTGGACTCGTCTCGTTAATGTTTTAACGTGGACTCGTTTCGTTAACGTTTTAACGTGGACTCGTCTCGTTAATGTTTTAACTTGGACTCGTTTCGTTAACGTTTTAATGTGGACTCGTCTCGTTATAGATGTTTTAACGTGGACCCGTCTCGTTGTAGATGTTTTAACGTGGACTCGTCTCGTTGACGTTTTAACGTGGACTCGTCTCATTGTAGACGTTTTAACGTGGACTCGTCTCCGTCTTGTAGATGTTTTAACGTGGACTCGTCTCCGTCTTGTAGATGGTTTAACGTGGACTCGTCTCCGTCTTGTAGATGGTTTAACGTGGACTCGTCTCCGTCTTGTAGACGTTTTAACTTGGACTCGTCTCCGTCTTGTAGACGTTTTAACGTTGACTCGTCTCGGTGTCGTTTTAACTTGGACTCGTCTCCGTCTTGTAGACGTTTTAACGTGGACTCGTCTCGGTGTCGTTTTAACTTGGACTTGTCTCTGTCTTGTAGACGTTTTAACTTGGACCCGTTTTCATGCTATCAAGCTAAATGGTGAAAAACAAGCGCTCCTCACTAACCTTTCCACTCGTGTCGTCGCTGCTACCTCCCTCGTCTCCCTCCTCCTCCCCCCCCCGTCTCTCCTCCCGTGTGCTTCAGCTTGCAGGGACGCTTGCCCTTCGGCTTGTTGAGGTCGTCGTCATGGCAGCGGAAGGGATGGCGGTCAGGTGGCGAGGATAAGGAGGAAGGAAGAGGAGGTAAGGAAGGGAGGAAACTGGAGACCCTGCGGCTCTCCCTCAGCTTCTGGTGCTTGTCCTGGATGCGGGAGGAGGCGAGGGAGGCGAAGGATGCGGGGGAAGGTTGTCGGGCGAGATGAGTAAGACAGGTGGGCGGGGCCATGTGGAAAACTGTAAGAAAACAAAATAAAGTTTTATTTGCAAGAGCAATGCCATACATACCAGTTATACGTTGAAGCCTTGTGTCGCCATCTTGTTTTTTTATCAACCAGTGAACAGGAAGTGACCATATCTGGACTGAGGAGTGACGTAGAGACGCCGTATACGTCTCTGGTAGAAACCTGTCAATCACTGTGTAGCCCCGCCCTAAAGCATCCCCTGCTTTATGGTCTGTTTGACTCTAAATGGACCATAATGTACTAAATGAACATCATGCTGCATTGAAGAAGACTTGAAACTAGAGATTGAGACCATAAACTCATGTTTACAATGTTTACTGAGGTAATAAATCAAGAGAGAAGTAGTCATTTTCTCATAGACTTCTATACAACCAGAGGAGTCGCCCCCTGGTGGACACTAGAGAGAATGCAGCTTTAACACATGAAGCTTTGACTTCATAAGAGACTCATATGAGACTCAAACTAAACTAAATAGTTTAATGTTCCACAAAGAACTCCAGAAACTCTTAATGCAGCTTCGTCCTTTTTTCAGAAATGTGTGCGTGTGCACATACGTGCACGGCCTTCATCTTAGCCAACAAATGAGCTGCTGTCCGTCCTTCAGCAGGGGAGAGGTTAGATAATAAGAGAGAGAGAGAGAGAGAGAGAGGGGGAACAAAAAGGCTGAGTGGAGCAGCAGGCGGGCGAGTGAGGTAGCAGATGATGGGGGAGGGGAGGAGAAAAGAGAGACACACAGATGTTTAAAACACGACTGGATTCACACGTAGCGGAGGTGTGTGTGTGAAGAGTGACATCATTGTAATCTTTGGATTCCTGGCCATGCCCCCTTCCGCCACTCTAATGCTGTGTTCAAGTGCGACGCCGTTTCTTTTCTTAAATTACCGTGTTTATGAATTCCTTATTTTAAAGCACAATTTTGTCGAGAAATAAATTATCATACTTTTGTCTTATAACCAAAGACGCCAACGTTGGACAGTGTCTACCACACATTTTATTGTTTTTTGCCCAAATAATAACTGAGATAAATTTAGATTAGAGAAACATGAAATATGAATCAGCTGTTACGCTGACGATGTTCTCCTCTCTGTTGATAAATATTCAAACACAATAAACAGAATCATTCAGACTCCAGATGTTTTATTGACATCGGGTAAGTTGATGTATGATGAGTTTGATTATGTCACAGAAAAACGATACATCTTACGTTACCATGGTAACGGGTTTCCTTTCAGTTTTAAATGATAGAAGCAGCCGTTTAAAACAACATGTAGTAATCTATTACTTCACCTCTCGGGTTGTCGTCCCTCCTCACAGGCGCGGGGTCACGCCAGCCTCCATTGACCTCTGACCTCACCCTGCCGGAGGGCAGCCATTGGCCGAGCTCCCCGGGGAGGCGGGGCTTGTTGAGTCGGAGGCCGTTGAGCTCGATGCAGACCTTCAGCCTCCTCACGTCCTCCGGGGTCGAGTCTGTGACGGAGAACAGTTTAACGGGTCTTTAGAAGGAACTCTAGGGGACCCAGTAAAGAACCCTGTGGAACACCAGAGTACCTTTAAATGCCCTAAAATGTGTACAACTGAAACTAAAAGGTCAATAAACCATTATGATTGACAAAAGTATTATGTATCTGTATTAGTATGATAAAGAATTGTTCTGATGATTGATTATTGATTATTTCTATAAGTTCTAAGGGACTCTTACCGCCGGTGAACTTGGTTTTCTTGTTGGGGTTCCCCTTGGTCTCCTCCTCCCTCGTCTCCTCCTCCCTCTCCTCCTCCGCCCTCCCTCTCCTCCTGCTGCTGCTGATGCTGCTCTGGTGGAACGGCTCCAGGCTGAAGAGACTCCTCCGGTTCATTGTCGCCGCGTCGGGACTCGAACCTCCGGGTGCCAGCGTAGTGGTCGCCGTGGAGACGTGTCCCTGGAACAGGCCTCTGGACAGAAACCGCTGTTGTTGTTGTTGTTGTTGTGAGATAAAACTCCTCTCCTCTTTCTTCTTCTCCTCCTGCACATCTCCTCCTCCTCCTTCTTCTCTGCTCTTCTTCTTCTGCTCCTCTGAGCCTACGGGGTGGTCGTCGGCGCGGTGGAACAGCGGCAGGACTGCGAGGAAAACTGCAGAGAGTTTCATGTGTCAATGTGATGGAGGTCTCATTTATTCTCTATACACCAAGTTTTTAATTAAACTAATTATGGATTATTTTCTCCATTTAGCCATTAATTATCTGTTTGATTTGTAAAAATAGTGAAAATAATTGTGAGAAACTATGTCAAAATTACCCAAAGTGACACTTTGTTTTGTCCAAACTTCAACATTATTACTGAAGCATTAACATAATTAACATTACTATTAATACATTAACATTATTAATTATATAATAACATTATGCTTTGCATTAATTAACTTCCATACCTTCCAGCCCTGGTTTCACACTGAGAAACCAAGAGGAAAGGTGTGTGTGTGTGTGTTAGTGTGTGTGTGTGTTAGATTGTGTGTAATGAAGGCAGCGGTTCGTTCGGCTTAAAGTGAGCGAAGTGCATCAAGAGTTCAACTGTGTGAACAAAAAGTGTGTCTTTTAATATCTGTGTGTGTGTGTGCATGTCGTCCTGCAGAGCTCTCTGGGAGTCTTCTTACCTCTCGGTGCCTCGGCGGCGGCTGCAGAGGGATTTCTTCCTCCTCCCTCTTCCTCCCTCCCCTCCTCCTCCTCCTCCCTCCCTCTGTCTCCCCTCTGGCCGTCTGCCAGCTCCGTCTCCTCTGTCCACCCTTCTTCCTCTTCCTCTCTTCCTCCCTCCTTCTCCTTCAGCTCGAGCTCAGAGAAGCGCAGCATCGCCCGCTGAGAGAGGGAAGATAAAAACATCAGAGACGGAAAACATTTACTTTACATTCAAACTTCAATCAACCAATCAGCTCCTCACACAGGTGTGTCAACAGCCTCCCTTTACTGTGCGCTTTACTTCCATCTTAACTCATTATTCACAATTGGGAAAAGGGAAATGTGCCTCCTTTAGGAAATAATACCAAAAGAAGCTTTGCCAGAAAATTGTCCAATAACAGACGTCGCCATCTTGGTTTCTGGACGTCGCCATCTTGGTTTCTGGCCGTCGCCATCTTGGTTTTTGGCCGTCGCCATCTTGGTTTCTGGCCGTCGCCATCTTGGTTTCTGACCGTCGCCATCTTGGTTTCTGACCGTCACCATCTTGGTTTCTGGACGTCGCCATCTTGGATTCTGACCGTCACCATCTTGGTTTCTGACCCTCAACATCTTTGTTTTTTTTGCAATCAGAAGTAACATAAGAGGGTGGAGCTAAGTACATCCGAATACTAAATAGGACATCTTTAGGCGACCGTTCCTGCAGCCCTTGACAGGCTTCACTTTTTTGGAACTGAAGGTTGCCACGTGTGTCCAAAACTTTAGTCTTTGACCAAATATCTGCAACATCTCTGGTTGATATTTTGGGGGTTTGTTCCATTTTTGGTCCACATCAGCATCATAACAGCAGCTGTTTGTGACCCGAAGCTGCTTTAAAGGGAGAAATAAAACTCAGCTCTTCCTGTCTGATGTTTCTTAAACTGAAAAAGACGGACACGAACATCCCAGGGTGTTCAACCAAACCTCGTAAACGTTGGTAACCGGCCCCCAGTGCGCACGCTGACAGGCCAGTATTTCCTCGCTCACCTCACTTTGCCCCGAACCACAAACCCATTTTAAAAATTAATGGCCCGTGAAACGATCTGCAAATTAATCTGACGGCGGCGCACCGAGGCGGCAGCACCCCCCCACCCCCCATCACACCCCCGAGGAAACACGAATGACCGAGCTCAAAGACTTCCAGAGGGAATTAACAGCCTGACAGCTGAGAGAGATGACTCATACACAAACACAGCTGATGTTTTCAATAAGGGGAATAAATATCTGCTGTCTCACCAACAACAACGACGTCTTCCCCTGATCATCTCTGGACATTATATCACAAGACTCCAATATTTAAATACTAAGACGTCCAATTTTCTAGAAACCTGTCTGGATCCATTAACAATGCAAACCACAAGCAAAGCATACAAACTACTGTCGATTCTAAAATGTGACATTTACCCAAGATTGATGTGTTAATACAACAGTGTATTAGTGTCATTGTAGGTAAACAATACAAATAATTACAGAGCTGGGGGGGGGGGGGGGTTTAACATCACAAGAAAAGTAAATCATTTACGATTCTTTAAGATTAAAGTCATACATTTATGAGAAAAAACTCACCAATTTACATTAAAAAAACGTGAATATTCAGAAGATTAAAGCCGTAAATTTACAAGAAAAAAGCTCACAACTTTACGAAAGAAAGACTGCATATTCTCTGAGATAGATGCCACTGAATGCTTGACTCGTTTTGTTTTGGTCCAATTCTCAACACAAAGAGAAGCCGTTTGATGGGAAATGTAGTTCATTATTTAGTTTTTCTTGTTCAAACACAAACCAACTTCTATTAGAGGAGGATCCCATTAAAATAACTACTTTCCGTCCTCCTCCGTTGGTGATGGAGGAGGACGAGGAGGAGGAGGGGAGATTAAATTTGAGTTGAAGGAGGGATCCCGAGGGAACGAGGAGGTGAAGAGAAGGAAGCGGCAAACAGAGAGGCAGAGAAACAAAAATAGAGCAAAACGTTGAGAGAGATTAAAGAAAAACAGGAGAGAAGAAGACAAGATGAATACGTAAAGACAATTCGTTTCCTTTATCTTTGGGAGGAGAAACCAGCAGGATAAAAGTCGCCTGAGGCCACATACATCCGGTGCGTTATCCTAACCCGAACTCAGCACGACCCCAAAACACTCGTGGGCGGAGAAACAAGCCGAGAAAAAAAAAAAAGTAGTGACGGAAGAAGTGAAAGAGAAGGCGAATCTCCTCGTAACACCTCCTTATACCTGAGGATTATTCACTACATCTGCACTACATTTACTGTGATTTGATAGTAATGAGTTACTTTACGAAGATAGGGTCTGGTTCCAGTTTCATTCACGCATTCACGTCACTAATTTGCAGTAAACAACACAATAAACACATAATTTCAGGTGGTATCTCGTTACTTGACATAGTAAATGTAATGATATTACCGACATCCTGTTAGCAACACGTTATATTACTTTATTACGGCTATAAGTAGTATAATTACACTGTCTGATAGCTGCTTTTCATTTAGGATCAAGTTCCCAGTTGGCAAAACACCCGGATTCATCAAACATCTTCAGTATATGGGACAATTCCAATATTTTTTAGTTGAGAAATGACTTCTTAGATTAGAGAACGATCATGTTTAGGGTTCATAAAAAGGGTGAACATGTATTAACCTCCATCAACAACCCACTACTTCCTGCGTTGACACTGAAGTTCGGCGCTGGTTGTGGATTGTAGGGTTTTTAAAAACATCTGATATCATCCTAAACCCTCAGGATACTGGACTACTCTGATACCACCACCAAACTCCTGGAAACCCTCCTCAGAATACAAACATTGTGTTGCACTCCTTCAATCACAACCTTTTTACACCTTCTCCAACTTCCAAGCACCTTCTTCAATCTCCACCAAACAGAATTTGGTCTTGGGAAGCCGGTGAGGGATCATATCCTTTGACTTTAGTGCTGGAAACATCTGCTGAAACTATGTCAAAACACTTGATTCTTACAATCCTGCCCCCCAAAAAACAGGAAAAGCTAAAGATGATGTGAAACTTTTTCTTTTTTCTTTACTCTTTGTCGGACTAAAGACTATAATTCTGAAGGGAACCAAAAGGAACCACTACAATGTTGAGGTCACAGTTTGAATGACCAGAACTAGATTTGCCCGTCTCACCAGATTATCACCGTTTCATCGACAAACGAAGGGATGAAGAAAGAAAAAAGAGAATACATGTAGAGGTGGATCTTACCTGAAGTGCTTTCTGCTCTCTGCTCAGCTTGCTGGAGTCGGCGTAGAGCTCCGTGGTAACGCATTTGATCCGGTCGCCCACGTAGCCGGATGAGTTGGCGATGCGTTTGGTGAGGCCGGACTGTCGGCCCTTGCCGCAGCAAGAGTCCTCATCCTCGTCTTCCAGGGGATCCAAGCCATCCTGGATGTCGTCCTTTTCGTCTCCACAGCTGTCTCTTTTGGGCTCTGCCTCGTCGCACTTTAGGTCTTCGTTAACCAGCGGTTCTTGAATCAAGCCTCCATTGGTAGGATTTCCATGTGAAAGATGCCGACAGGTTGGGCTCCGAGGAAAACTGTTTCCACATGTGAGGACCCTGGGATTGCTATGTGCACAGGTTTGGTTATTTCCAAAAGACTGGCCTATAGAGAGGCTATGTCCACAACTAAAGCGGTTCTTTCCGCATGCAGGAACCCTGATGTTTCCACAAACTGGGCGCACAGGATTGCGGTTTTCGCAATTTGTAAATCTGGAATTGATGTTCCCAGAGTTCGGAGACAAAGGGTTGCATCTTCCATGAGTTGGGCTGCTGAATATTCTGGGTTCACAAGTCGGAGCCCTCGGAGCCAGATTTCTGCAACATGGGCCCAAAAAGCTTCCGTTTACATCTCCACTGCTACATGGGGGCGTTCTTGGGTTGTTGTAAACACACAGTGGGGCCCTGGTATTCATAACCCTGGGATTAAAACTCCTGCATGCTGGGACCTGGGGACTAAAATCTCTACTTGCTGGTCCCTTACTGCTGCAGACTGGACTGTCTGGATGACAGCTGCCCCCATAAGCCGGACTCTTCGGACTGGTGACTGCACACACTGCTCCCATGATGTTGCTGGAATTGTTGTTGTCACAAGGATCCAATGAGTTCCCATCTTTGGAAGGGCTTTGCTGAGGGCTTACATTTTGATTAGCTGAGGACTCTGACTTAACTTCATTGCTAGCGCTCTCAACTCCATTAGTCCGACCACCAATGACACCAGTTATCAAGTCACCACCAGAGGCTCCAGTTTCACATTTTCTAGAAAATTGCTGTGGAGAAGTTCGGGCACAGCGCATCGTCTGCTCCTCTGGGATGTCTGGGAATGGACTAAGTGGCTCCTCCATTTCCGGGATCTCTTCTGGGGTCTCCTCACTGGGAAGAGGAGGTAAAGAAGTCTTGTGATGAGGGAGTTGTGGTTGGGAGGTGTCGGGTAGTAAGTCTTGCCTCTGCTCTCCAGCCTGGCTGTGGGAGGATTTTGGAGGCTCACTTTCTTGGATGTGGTTACCGCCATGCTTAGAGGAATCTTCTCTTATGGTAGATAAGGAGCTGTGCTTATTAGTGTTCAATTCATCATTTTCCTCATCACGCACCAGGTCAATACAAATCACATCCTCTGAAACTCCTCCGGTCCAATCTATGGTGACTCCTACCTCCCTCCTCAGCAAAAGCCTCGTAGAAGTGAGGCTTTTGCCTGAAGCCTTTATGGTTTGGTTTGTGGACTTGTCTCTCTCAATGTCACTCTTTTGGGAGCAATCAGCATCCGGCTTTTCCTGGTTCCTGTACGGTTCTACGTTCCAGGTTTTGTCCTGGTTCTCAATTTGGTCAAGACCTGCGTGGGAGGAAACAGGTGGAGGGGCCATCCCTCGGGAATTCTGGTATGTCATGAAGTCACCCTGGTTTGGATGTACCCCATATGGAAGTCCATGTTTTGGTGCAATGCAAGCTGGGTAAAAGCTGCTGTTGCTAAGCAAAGCTGGATGGGTATAGACGGGCCCTTTGCCTGGTATGGCCATGCGTTGCAAGGACATATTCTCAGCAACCGAGTATGGGATGTAGCGGTTAGTGTAACCTAAACCAGGAGGGAGGTAGGAGTCACCATAGATTGGACCGGAGGAGTTTCCATTTCCCACACGAGATTGCTGTTGTTGTTGAGGATGAGGTTGGCTCTCTGGAGCTTCTGGCTTAGCAGGAGTTGCAGTATGTTTCCCAGTCTCTCCTTTCCACTTTGGATTCTCCAAATCACTAGCAGGGACTCGTGGCCATTCCATTTTGGCCTTTAGGGAGGGAGATGATGCAGACGGTCGTCCCGCTGAGGCAGGGCTGGGGATACTGGTGACCTCAACTGTCTTGGAGCCAGGTGAGTTTTGAGAACTATTGTCTACACTCTTGTTTTTCATAATTTGGGAGCCTCTGTTGTGCTGTGCAGAGCTGACAGCTGGGGAAGGACCAGGAACAACCCAAGGGGAGGGCACAGTGCTGATAACTTCAGGACGATCTGGAGTCTTTGCTGACGTGGTAACGGGTGGGTTCTGGTAATGAGATGGTGGCAAATACCCTAACTTGGCCAGAGCATCTAATTTAGATGGGAATCCATTTGAGAATTCTTCCAACTCTTTGGCAGACAGATTCAACGCTTTGTCCCTGGGGGTTTTGGCAGACTTTTGAGGTACAGCTTTGTCCAGTGATGTCTTTGCAGGTGAAATCTCTGCAGTACTGCGGTCTGAGCTGGAATCTTTGGTTTTGTTGCTGCCTGAAGTGGCCATGTAAAAGGGGTGAGACACTGATAGTGAGGTTGAGGATGAGGAGGTCCTTCTGTAAAGGGACTTCTGGAGGTCTGTAGTGGTGTTGTTGAGGGTTTGGGGAACTGAGCGTGGGGGATGGGTAACTGGGGGTGACTCTAAGGCAGCAGTGTTAGCTGAACTGCTAACAGGGCCACCACTACTTCCACCACTGCTGCTGCTGCTGCTCATCGTGTTCTTGGTGGAAGTAGGTTGACTGGACTTTGCGCCACTGCTACTGCTGCCATGTTGTCGCTCCGTATGATGAACAGCTTGAGGCTCTTGGTGGATCTGTGGACTGGTGCTGAAGGCAGAGGGTTCCTGATGCACCTGAGGACCGAGGCCTTGTAAGGCCTTGTCCTGGCAGTGGGGCAGCGGTGACAGGACGGCAGGAGACGGAGTTGCAGTAGGGATCCTGATCAGAGGGCCCAGCGGGGAGGAGATATGGGCTGGGCCATAATGAGGCAGGTAGAAAAGTCTGTCCTCCCCAGGTGTGCTGCTTCCTGCCCCAGCAGCACATAGAGATTGGTATGCCAGCTGCTGGTGGAGGAAGGGCAATGGCTGGGACAGGAAGGAGGCCTTGTACGCCATGTCCAGGAAGGGGTACATTGTTACATCAGCATAAGGGCTGACCCAGGGCAACCTCAGGAAGCCGCCAGCACCGTTCAGACCCAGTTCTGACTGCTTGTCGTTGGATAAGACTCGGCGGTCCAGCCTCAGACCGTCTCCTCCTGCACCAGGAACAACCAGGGGTTTCTGCAACCCTGGTTGTGGGCTCTTATAAAGTCCAACATATCCATTCGCAGAGCCATCCAACAGGGTCACACCTGGTTTGTAGAGGAGGTCATAGCCAAGCGGGAGAGAAACGCCAGCCTCCTGGGGCTTTTCGGCAGAGAGAGGATGAATGCCGGGATGGAAGATTCCTGCGTGGGGGCGGTAGTTTTCTCCCACCAGAGCGTTGCGGTCGATGCTGAGGGCAGCTAGCGGGTTCATCCTGTAAGATGCGCTGGCATCCACCTGCAACATGGAGAGGAGAGTCGAAATAAGAAACCAAACTGGAGGATAACGGTATTCCCAAGTAGGATACACTTCCATGTTCATTACAGCAGAAACTGCTTTCTGATTTAAAGTAGTTAAAACATTTTGAATACTTTGCATTCATTTACACCAAAAGTATTGACGTTTGCTCGATCAACAAGCACATTTTCTTCATTATATTGAAGGATTTCTTCCTCTTTGACAGGAAAAAGGACTAAGTGTTAGACACTGTCTCTGCCGTGTGGATTTAGTTCAGTAAAATCTCTGAAATAAACCGTTGAGTGTTACATGGCCTTTCACGGACAAACAGGAATGAAAATGATCTCCAATACAGGACGTGATTTCATATTTCCTTTCATGGAGAAAAATAAGAGAAGCCTTTTCTTTTCTTTTTTTTTGTATTCCTGGATGACATATGACGCTGCGAGCTACTCTTTCACTCTCCCTCGACAGATCTAGGAAATAAAAGAGAGAAAAGAGGGGAGGCGTGAGATAAACAAAGAGAGGGCGAGAGACAAAGGGAAAGCACAGCAGTAAGAGAGAGGGAGACTCTGGGAGAGCAATACTGAAGGGAAAAAAAGAACAGCCTAATTGAATTTCCTGTCACACGGCGTCGTGAACCATCTCTGATTGGCTATCAGCCGCAGGGCCATTAGGAAATTATCCAGCTGGGTGGCCGCCTGAGATGTGGAGCGAGCAGAAAGATCCTTCACTTGCTCGGCTTTACAGGGTACCAAAAAAAGAAAAGAAAACGAAATGTGGCTGAAGGAAAATTAAAGTTGGATTTTTGGGAATTAATGGAAAAGCAGTGAATAGCAGTTTTTTTTTGTTTTTTTTCAATAATGTTTTCTACAATTACTTTTTAAAAAGAGAAAACAAAATAACTGTCTGTAACTGTTACGTCTCGTGGCGCTACGTTTCGTGGCGTTGAGTTACGTCTCGTGGCGCTACGTTTCGTTGAGTTGTGTTGAGTTACGTTTCGTGGCGCTACATTTCGTGGAGTTACATTTCGTGGAGCTGCGTTACGTTTTGTGGCTCAGTTCCAAACTATTTTTGGACTTGTGGGTATTTTGGATGGTGCCCGAGCTACAACCTCAAACACTGTAACTTGTACGAGGAAACACTAGACTTGAAGTTGACCGTTGACCTCACCATGCTGTGAGCCCGCGGGGTTCTGCTTCAGACCGGACCGTCTGCCATGAGAACGCTGTTCACTCCGCCATGTCTGAAGATGAACTGAAAAACCATATGAGACGAAGATTTTATTAAATCGCACTGAAACACTAACGTCTCACTCTGTAAAAGAAATAAAGGACATTTTAAAATAGATTTCTTTAAACTGAAATATGGTGGTGTGACACTTTACATTTCAAACTCTGTTTCAGAGCATCTCGTTAAAGGTTTAGTACTCAATAATTAAAAACTAAAAGATGATGATTTTCTCGCCATTTAACCACTTTATAATAACTACACACTATGAAGCATTAGTTAAGTATGAGTAAACACTTAAAACACTTTACTAACGAGTAGTAGCTACCTTAATAAATCATGAATTAATCATGAATTGCAGTATTAATATGCGTTTATAAAGCATATATTAACATAGTCCCTAACCATTATATATATAAATGCATGAATAATGTACATCTAAATAAGTTATTCATCATTTACTAACACTTTATAAACTATCTTATTAATCATCTACAACTCCTTAATAATTGGTTTGTAAAATATATAATACTTCATTTACAAATGGGGAATCCATCATTTATAAAGTATGAAAACACAATCATGAAACATAATAGATGAGCTTATTAATCAAGAAATGTTATATAACTGTTGTTATGAACTGCATACTAATGAATTATTAATGTAGGAACAATGCTTTATAAATGATGAATTAAGTGTTCACTCAAACTTAACTAATGCTTCATAGTGTGTAGTTATTATAAAGTGTTACCACAACGGTTTTAGTGGAGAGAAGATATGATGGAAAATAGAAATTTATTTTAAAGCTCTTAGTTTGAAACGCTGGTTTGGTGTTTTCACATTCATGTCTGTGGACGTTTGGTTTTATATATCAAGAAATAAATTTTACGAAAATGAATTAAAATGGTTTCAATTTACACAAATATTGTGAGTAAAAACAACAAAGAAGGAAAAACTGTTTCTCAATGTTAAAATTGGAAAGAAAGTGGTGTGTGGCTTGCAATAATTTCAGCTATATAAACACACACACACACACACACAGTGATGTTGCAAGGCTCGACGTGTTTTATCACCCAGCCGGAGGACTGATAACGCACGTCGCCTCGTTTCCCGAGGAAGGAATAATCCAGCAGACACACACACACACAGACACACACACACCACACAGAGTGATTGATGGCTGTCAGGGAGCTGGGATTTCAATAACGGCTCTTATCGCCAGACTATTTGAAGGACAGGTGTGTGTGTGGTGTGTGGCCATGATCATCCATCAAACCACACACACACACACACACACACACACACAGCTGGATCGGCTTGCTGGGAAATTTATTAGGTTTCCATCAGCGGTGGAATGTAACCAAAGTACACATTTGAGGTACTTTTATCTCAGTATACTTGACTATTTCTACTTCACAACATTCATCCGACAGCTTTAGTTTGTTTGTAAATTAAGATTTATCCACTTAGCCACAGTCTCACCCCGTGTATATGTGTATACATACGTATACACATATACATACGTATACGTATGTGTATACATACGTATACACATACACATACGTATACATATACATATACATACATATACATACGCATACATATACATACGCATACATATACACACACATATACAAACGTGTATATATACACACGTACATACGTATACACATATACATATATACATATACGTATACATACGTATACATATACACATACATATGTATACATACATATACACACATACGTACACATATACACACATACATACGTACACATATACACACATACATACGTACACATATAAACATACATACATATACACGTATACATACGTATACATATACACATACATATGTGTATATACACATACATATGTGTATACATATGTATATGTATACGTGTGTATACGTATGTGTATGTATATACGTATGTATATGTATATGTATGTGCATATGTATACATATGTATACGTATGTATATGTGTATGTTTGTATGTGTATACGTATGTATATGTATGTATATGTGTATACGTATGTAGATGTATATGTATGTGTATGTATATGTGTATACGTATGTAGATGTATATGTATGTGTATGTATATGTGTATACGTAAGTATATGTGTATATGTATGTATATGCGTTTATGTGTATACGTATGTATGTGTGTGTATAAATACGTATGTACATGTGTATATGTATACGTATGTATATGTGTATACGCATGTACTGTATATGTATATATGTATACGTATGTATATGTATGTGTATGTATATACGTATATGTATGTATATGTATACGTGTATATGTATACGTATGTATATGTGTATACGTATGTATACGTGTGTATGTGTGTATATGTATACTTATGTATATGTTGATAAAAGACAGTGACGAGAACAGGAAGTGATTAGACTGGATTTCAAAATAAAAACACAGCTGGAGAAAGATAAAGTCATCTCGACTAGAGCTGCAGCTGAGACTCTTATTTTGAAAGGTAGACGTTAACATTTTTTTCCATTTTCAGTGTTTTTGTATGTTTACGTGAAGATAAGTTACTTTATTATTATTAATATTTTGTCGTCAGTCAACTAATCAATGAGAGGAAGAAAGATTTGACCTCAGACCTCACAGGAAGCAGCAGGTTAGTGTTGTCCTCATTTCCTTGTGTCCTCATTTCCTTGTGTCCTCATGTCCTTGTGTCCTCTAGAGACACTGAACTCGGTTTTAATGTCTGAACCTGAAAATATAAAACAAATGAAATAAAGTTAAACTTTAGTCAAAACATGAAACTGTATTCGTCATAAAATGAAATGTTCAACAAAGTGGAAACAAAGTATTATATTTACTTAATACTAGTATTGTTAAGCTTGCAAATTGGCCGAAACAATAATCATTTTACAATAAATTATTATTGTTTTAATATATAAAAGATAAAAAATAAGCAAATTCAAAAAAGTATATTAACAACAATATTAATATGAATTGTATTAATATTAATATTATTAATATTATTATTATTAGTAGTAGTAATAATAATAATAATAATAATACATTTTAAACTCACCTTTTCTTCTGTGGACTAAACTCCAGAGTTGTTATGTTTCACTTTTATTTTTTATTTAAAATCCGGTCAAAACAAACTAAATCCCAAATATTTACACCTTCTCCTCTTGCGCTGAAGTAAATAAATCCTCATTGATCAGCCGCGTGCTAATGAAGAAACGGGGGGGGTCGTGGACGCGCACGTGCGCACACACACACACACACACACAAACACACACACACACACACACACTCACTCTCTCACACACGTACACACACACACAAAAACAACAATGAATAGAGTCTGGTGTGAGAGCCGCGCGCAGCACAAACACTACAGGTCACAAACAGGTCGTCCGGAGCGAGCCGCTGGAAACACACACTTGGACACGCGCGCAAAGTCACGTGCACATACGCACGCGCCGTCCAGGACCGGGTTGAACTGTGTGTGTGTGTGTGTGCGTTGTCCCGACAGGAAGCAGCAGCGGGATCTAATCCACAAAAAAATGAAAAACATAAAATGTATCCTCCACGAGCGGAGATATTCCTCAGGGTGTCACGCGCGCAGCACACGAGTTATTCCACATTTATTTTCTTTCTTTCCGGTCCGTCTGTCCTCCTCCTCCTCTTCCTCTTCTTCTTCTTCTCTTTCTCTACACGTCAAGTTACAAACAACCAACCGTGACGTTTCCGCTGCGCGCCTTCAGAATAAAACTACAGTGAAACAAAACAAAAAAAAAAAAAAAAAAAGAGTCCAGATATACTTACTTAAGTAATACCACAGTCAGTGTACAAATACACTGAAAAATACTACTGTCCAAGCTGGAAAGTAAAACCTTTGATTTTGAGGTACTGGTACTTTACATTTCAGAGTAAATGTACTTTATTTATCTTCATTCAGAGTATTAATCAACGAATAAATGATTGTGTATTATTATAGATGATGTAGAGTCATTAAAATGAGCTCCAACATTTACCAAATCCACCTTTAAAACAAATAGTTATAAATAATATAAAAACACAAAAGAGGAGAAGACGTCCAAACACTTCCTGTTTGTGACTTTAATCTTAACTACAGACAATTATATTCTAATATTTTAAACATGAAATATACTGTAATATGATGATAAACGACAGAAATTCCATGTAAAACTAAAATACTTGCCAACAGTTTTTAAAGCAGTGCTTTTATTTTGAAAGTACCCTTCGTGGTGTTATTGTGGATTAATGATTCTGACTTCACTCAGCTCATCAATACTTCACATTTCTGTTGAATTTTCCTTTTCTTTATTTTTAGAATGAAATTTGACGTTTCAAATTTTTCTGTGAGCAGTTTGGTGTTTGGTGCTGATTTTAATACATACATACATATATACATATATATACACATACATATACATATATACATATACATATACATATATACATATATATACATATATACACATATATACATACATATATATACATATACATATATACATACATATATACATATATATACACATACATATACATATATACACATACATATACATATATACATATACATATACATATATACATATATACATATATACACATATATACATACATATATATACATATACATATATACATACATATATACATATATACATACATATATATACATATATACATACATATATATACATATATACATATATACATACATACATACATATATATACATATATACATATATACATACATACATATATACATATATACATACATATACATATATATACATACATATACATATATATACATACATATACATATATACATATATATATACATACATATATACATACATATATACATATATACATATATATATACATACATACATATATATA